TCAGCTCCGCAAAGTAGAGCATACTTTTCACAGCCCCGATATTTTTTTTCCACTTGTATTCGGACAAATACAGGTGTTCTACCAGTATTACATAAAATTCCGCCTCAAGCCTTACCATTATGTCTTACTAGGATTTTCCTTTTAGTTATTGTTTGTAAGCAGATTTGTGTCTCCACGCCATTTTAGCCCAGATTGTGATTTAAGTAGTTTTTACACATCAGCTCAAATCTGGACTCTTCTCTGTCTGGTAAGGAACCATCATGAAAGCACGCATAATTAGATCCACGTGTAAGTAAATGTTTGACATCCGTTCGGATGAACCGACTTTCACGCACAGTTTGATTTGATTTGTACTAGAGTTCACCTCAGTTTTGTAAATGATCAGTAATTTTCATTTTCATTGTGTCCGCATGGAAGAAATACACCATTTGTTAAAGTTGGTTTGTCATTTGTGATGAACATGCATTTAAAAACGGCCCCTTATTAGTTTGCAACCAACTCCATTTAACTCATAATTAATGGTGGTGAGAGACTTTTAGACTTTAAATAAGATCCACGCAAATAAATCCTGTTCATGTGTGAACGCTGTTGGCACCAGAGGTCAAGTGTGTGGTGCATATTAAAAATAAAGTCCAATTTAATACTAAACAACACAGTCTCATTATTTTTAAATACTTAGTAGTTGGCAAAACAAATCAATGGATAACTGATAAGACAGATTGTGAAAATTGAAAAAAAAAGAGGATTTTAAGCTAAAGGGATTTGTTGGAGTAGAGAAGAAATAATCCATCTCAGATGCTTCTTAAGGCAGACTGTGGTCTAGGAAATACAAAGATTGTTTTAGTGAAATTGTATTAGAGAAAATCCAGTGGGGCTTTTGACAGGGCTGTTCAAACACCATCTGCGTCACTGGCCACTGCACATATTCTGGTCATTTTAACAGCTCAAATAACAAAACGAGCGAGAGCATTAATTCCCAGGGCTGATCATCGCTTCGTAAAGCGTGTTGTGTTTGTGTCGTCGACTGAACTTGATGCCAGAACGTCTTTGGCTGTTCTGTATAACACAGCCTGGGCTGCCTCTCTCATCACGTCTTTTGTTTTTGCTCTTTCTGTGCTCTTTCTGTGGGAAGTGATTGTGTGCTGTACTTCTGGAATTAAAAACGCATTGAAGCGTTAGAACTTCAACGAGCGCTGCTTTAATAAATGCCCTTTTTAGACCTAGAGCACAGAAAGTGGCTTTGTGTACACTAAGCTTATATTGTCAATCTAATAAACTTTATTTGATCATGTATTTACTTACCAGTAGTGAGAAAGCCCCAAACTCAATCTCTGCACTCAATGAAAGAATGAATGACCTCATGAGCAGGGCGAATTGAAATGCCTGATACATTACTGTGTTTGAATAAGTTAGTGCAGAAGCTCCACATTCAGGAACATAAAGTAAAACTATCCAAGCAAAACAAACCAAAAAAAAAAAAACAAGAACGAAATCAGTGTTAAGGCGTTCGAAGCCACAGGCGCATGTATCCAATTTTGTAAGACATTATGTATCAAGACAAATAAATCAGTAAACTTTGTATATTTTCATTTAGTAGATATGAAATGTATACATTTTCAGTGATCTCTCTCTAGTGTGGGATCGATGCGTATGTTTGTGCCAGATAGTTTTGTTAGCATGGGAATGAAATAAGCCCCGCCCCCAGGATGAGCTGACATCACGTGCAGCACTTTTACTTTTATTTAACGTCAAATATGATCAGAATATGGGATAATACAGTTCACATTTTTCATGAAATTCACTGGAGTTAATTATTTTCATTTAATTAACAGAATCTTATATAATTAAGTTCATTGCTAGATTGTAATTCATTTCTGGGACTTTTGAATAAATGGACCATTGGTTTATGTTTACTGTGTGCATTCATGTGTAAACGGCAGTAAGCTTTCTGAATACTTTCAGCTGTATTAGCAGAACTGACAGAACGTTAACACAGAGTGTGCAAGCAGCAATGAACAGTGCTTAATGGCCGTTCGGAATAGTTCACAGGTCTTGTGATTTCAATTTTTGTATTTTGGATTCTCAGGCTTCATGACTTCGTAGGTCGAAAACATCACCTTCGATTCTTCACTTTTCTATCCAGTGTCACTGAACGCTGTGTGCTTATGTAACTGAAGTGAGCAACAGTGTGCTATCTGTACTTATTAATTGCTTTCTTCCCTTCACTCATGATCAGCAGGGTTCATTAAATATGGACAGCGTGGCTCTGTGGCTTCAAAGAAAAGGTTATGTTTGCCTTCCTCTATATTTAACATGCAAATGGTAAATGCATGGGGTAGAAAATATTCAGAGGCACTGATGAATGAGGAAATCATGCAGCTGCTGTCAGTGAAGGTGTTAGCTTTGTATTAATCACCTGGGCTGTCCCAAATGCATTACAGTACAGGTATGGTGGAAAGGTATC